TTTCCTTAGAATTTGATTGAACAACTTGGGCTTCTACCAATTTACGGATCATCTCTTCCATTCCCCCAAATCTCTCCTCTAAGGTTGAGAATTTTCCCTCCAACGACGAAAGTTTCTCCCCCACTTCCTCCTTCCATTGGCTCATCTCCCCCTCCAAAACTTCTATCAACAAGAGAAAGAAACTAAGGAGGCTAAGAGAAAACTCAAATCTTGCATAACCCTAGAAATCCCCCCTTAATCCCTACTTATAGCAAGCAAAAGACCCAACCAAACCCACTAGTTGGCTGCCCAAACTGAACCGCCCAGCTCAGGCTAGACCTGAGCCAAACCGGTCCAGAAATGGACCGGTTCCGCTCAAGCCGATCGGCCCCGTCCCGCTCCGCGTCCCTGCTTCGGCAGATCGAACGGCGCGGTGCCCATTCCGGCTGCTTCCGCGCGCCGCGGGGTAGCCGGCCCGCCCTCTGCCGGTCGGCGTCGGCGGTGGCCCGCATCACAGTGGTGATGAGGTTGGGAGGTGGGGCTAACACAAGGAAGGGAGGTGATGGTGGCCATCGGGTATGGAGGAAGGAGGGGAGCTCGGGTGTGGAGATTAGGGGAAGAAGACGGCTGCTTCCGCGCGCCGCGGGGTAGCCGGCCCTCCCTCTGCCGGTCGGCGTCGGCGGTGGCCCGCATCACAGTGGTGATGAGGTTGGGAGGTGGGGCTAACACAAGGAAGGGAGGTGATGGTGGCCATCGGGTATGGAGGAAGGAGGGGAGCTCGGGTGTGGAGATTAGGGGAAGAAGAAGAAGAGATCGAGGAAAAACCAAGAGCTCACCCACTGGGGCTGTTGGGTACTTCAATTGAGCCTCTCCTAGGCTTCACCACTCTAAAACTCACAAAGAGATCCAAAATCAAAGTTGAAATTTCATATCAATATTCCTCCTCCCAAATATAATAGAAATGACGTATATATAGGTCTCATCAAAAAGAAAAGAAAAAAAAAGAATAAAATACCCTCGGGATTACAACATCAAATGACCACCCATAAGGGTAAAACAGTAAAAACTGAAAATAAAATAAACTACTACATAAATGACAAAAAAATATAAGCTCCTAATCTTAGCTGTCGATCTGCGGTGTCTCCAATGATACACGTGTTGAAATCTCTAACGATGTCGTCATCAGTCAAGCTTTCACGAAGCAAACTCCAATTAGTTGGTATTATATTGGTGCTACTGCTGCAGCTGCTGAGATAATTGTTATAAACATCACAGTAATAGTGTGGTGGAAGTTCAGTGGTTCCATTCAATCTTTTTTTCTCAAACTTTTCTCTCTAACTCGTTTGAATTTTGATCAAAGAAGCCATTGCATAAAAGAAGTCATTGCACCTAATTATATGTCTATCTAATTATATATTTATCTTGCAGATGATTCTTTATTTAGCGGAAGCCAGTAGACACCTGAGTTGTACTGATCTATTCAAAGAGCCTTCAAAATATGCTTGGTCTGATTTTTATGAAGATCATTTCATTGTGCCATACCAAAGGATTGTTCTGGTAACAAGCAAGCGTGTCATGCTACTTCAGGTTAGGTTGCAATTATTTTTAGAATTGTTTGGATCCATTGATAGTTTCTACTATAATAATCAGTCTTTTTTTTTCTAGTCTTTATCACTTGAAAAATTGGATAGAAAACCCTCAAAGATTGTTTGGGATGTGCCTTGGGAAGAGCTTCTGGCACTAGAATTAGCCAAAGCAGGTCATAATAAGCCATCACATTTGATCATCCATCTCAAGCACTTTAGGAAGTCAGAAAGCTTTGTACGAGTTGTCAGGTGCAATGTAGATGAAGAGGAAGGACAAGAACCTCAAGCTGTTATGATTTGTAGTTGCATACGGAGAATGTGGAAAGCTGCTCGCCAATCTGATTTGGAAGTCCTGACTTTGAAGGTTCGCTTTCCATTTAAAATGCTTCCATAAGAATGACTGGCATAGTTCATGGAGAATTTGCTATACTGAATCATGAAATAAATGAATGAACAGGTTCCTTCAAGCCAGCGCCATGTCCAATTTGCCTGGGATGAATCAAACGGGAGGGATTCCTATAAAAGCATTAAACCTATGATCAAACCAAGAGGACTCTCTTCGGCTGGTTCACTTTCTGATGAGATGAGATTCAAGAAGCATTGTGTGAATTTTCGGAAGATATGGAGCAGTGAACAAGAATATAAAAGTAGATGTACATTATTTCCAAAGCAGGTAGCATTCAAAAAGTTTAAAATCTCTTTTGAGCTCTGTCCCATTCATCTTCAATCACTAATCGTTTCACCTCCTATTTACAATGATTATTCAGGTTGTTGATGATGGTACCATATGCAGCATTTGGAGACCTTTTTGTCCAAATGGGTATTTTTTTTTTTCTTCTTTTTCTATTTTCTATCCAAATGGGTAAATTAACCTTCAGACTCAAGCTTCAGTAGGGCTTGAGTCTGACGTGATGCTCTTATTATTCCGGTAATACTTAAAGCAAATGCCCGTATTGTAAGCTGTTTAAGTTATTTGATTTCATATTGTCTGCATCTAAGTGTGGGATGACTTTTTATAGATATGTTTCTGTTGGGGATGTGGCTCATATAGGAAATCATCAACCTCATGTAGCGGCAATCTACAGGGAATCTGCTGGAAACTTCTCGCTCCCTGTGGGTTATGACCTAGTGAGTATTTCCTATCCACCCTCTGTACCGGCGCAATCTTTTTAAGATTTCTACCATGTCATTTTGCAGTAAAAAGCTTTTTTTTAGTTTGTCTTTGACTTAGTAAATACCCCGCATGAAATTAATTTTTGCTCAATAGAAAGTACACACTACCACTAACAACAACAAAAACAACCAGACTAACCCCTTTAGAATGAGGGAAAAATTATTGTGTGGAGGCAGGATGCTGAACATCGCCCGGAGACCAACCAGAATGTGTCACGTCAGCGGTACCGAGCGAAGGGGTGACATGGCGCATATTGATTGGTCTCCAGACGGCATTCGGTGTCTGCATAGAATGATTAATGAGAAGCTAGAGGTCATCAGCTGGATTTGATCTTTCATGTTTCAGTTTCTTCATATTTTAACTGGAAAATCATTAGAAAGTATTATTTATCTGTTCAATATCGACAATCAAGCGCAATATCCATTATTTGAGATAAAAAGTTTCTTGTAGCTTAACTTGATATTTCTCAAGTATTTCAGAGTAATTCACTTCATTTTCCAGGTATGGAGGAACTGTTCCAATGACTACAATTCACCTTTGTCCATTTGGCTTCCAAGACCTCCAGATGGGTTCATTGCAGTTGGCTGTGTAGCAGTTTCTGATTTTGAGGAGCCCCCACTTGATTCTGCATATTGCGTAAGTGCGGAATTGGCAATAGAGACAGAATTTGAAGAACAAATGGTGTGGAGTGCTCCAGATTCTTATCCGTGGGCTTGCTACATTTATCAAGTGCACAGCGAAGCGCTTCAGTTCATTGCGCTCCGTCAGCTAAAAGAAGAATCCGACTGGAAACCCATGAGAGTTTCTCAACATGATCTCCCACAGTTGTCAGAAGCTTCAGCAGATCAATAGATGAATTCAACACATACAAGATATGGCTTGAATCGATTGATTGATGTTCGTAAACGTATATTGGCGTGCACCGGAAATGTTTTGAACGTACATGTTTTAGGTTTCGTTTGATTCCCCCTGCATTTTTTTCATTCTTAAACGGAGTATTACAACGGAGAAGTAAAATTTTTTTTCTTCTCAAATCGGCGAAAATACAGAGGTATAGCAAAAGGTCTTTTGAAAAAGTTGTGGAAACAAACATTAAAATAGTAAAAATTTCACCAATTGAAATGACAACCAAAGGAAGCCTTAGAAATCAAGGCAAAGAGGACTGCCTAGTTATTTTTTTATTGATGGCGGTTGGCTCGGAATATTTTTTGTGTGATATATATGTATAATTCCTTCTGGCTCCATATTATGGGAATTGGGCATTTTCTTTTGAGCATATAATTCATTTTTGTGCATTGGCCGTTATTCTTTGAGTTTCCTTTCTGTATTTTCTGCATCTGTGAGTGTAAACTTCTCACGCAAAATTTATAGTTTAGGTCCGTTTGAATGATTAAGGTGAGATGTTTGATGACTCAATGATGCTTGATTGCGATGTTTTTTTGTGGCAAGCCCTAGCTTAGTTATATCTCTTCCTAAGCATTAGCTGAGATTGCTAATGCTTCGGGGGCGCCATCAGGTCAGGGTTAGTACAAACTCTAAGTGAAACATATTTATAATATTTTTAAATAAGAGGCTCACAAGCTAAAAGAATATAAGAGTTTAATAGAAGATTAATTAAGTAAAAAGAGTATATTTAAGAAATTTTAAAGCTATGTCTTATTTTCTTAAGTAAATGCAAAATAAAGTAGACATTCTAGTGAAATATTTTATAAATATAAAATTTATAATTTGTATATATATAGTTAGAGCTTTAAACCCCTATTTCTAATGAATTTTTATTTTATTTGAAGATAGATAACATCAAAAGTCTAGCAAAATATTTTATATCTTTATTGTTGGGATACAACAGATTTTTTTTTCCTTTCATTTTTTAATCAAAGAGAGAGAGTAATTACAAATTTTGAATTCATAAAGATAAAAGAAAATTACTATAGAGAAAGACTGGCTCTAAATAATCCAATAAAATGGCATCATAGAGGAGGACAACTTAGCAATAAATGTCATCCAAAAACATTACAAGCAACGCTATCTTGTACTTACATTGAAAGTAACTTAACAAAAAAAAGGAAGAAATGGGAAGCACAGAAGAGCCCCTAATTAAAAGAAAATTAACTAGTGATCTACGAACTGAGGGTTGCTTCAGCATCCATCTCTTTAGCCTTTTTCTTTAGGGCAGCAGAAGCAAAAGTATCAGTAAGCACCGTCGTTGATTTCAACATAGCATTCATAAAGACGACTGCCTAAAATATTACAACAACAACAACAACAACATCAAGCCTTTATCCCACTACGTGGGGTCGGATCATCAACAACAATAAAAATATAAATTAAATTCAAAAAATTATATATAATCTAAATTAAATTTAATTGAATGATTACCTCTTCTTGACCAAATTCAACGTCCACCACCTCCACACGTCTGTTCTCAGGTAGGTGATCAAGAACATATTGTTCACGTAATAGCATTACTTTTAAATCATCCGTAATCAAATATCTCACACCGATGGTCTTCTCATTTTTTACAACCAACATAGGAAATGGAGAAGGAGAGGAAGAAATGATACTTTTTTGTTTAGAAATATCAGGCTGAAGAGGGCTGTTTCCGAAGATTTTTTTAATTTCTTTTAAGCTATTGTGAAGGTTTCCTATAGAGCATATTGGAATTTCCGGTGATATGAGATCAGAAGAATGGCTTGATGAGGTACATAAAAGCTTGACCAAAAACAACACGAAGTCTGATCCAACATAAGCAAAAAACACTTTGTTCAATTCAGTGTTCATAAAGAGCTTTATAATCATTCTTGAGTTCTCTTGCTCCAGTGTCCAACTTGTGTTGTAATATCTAACAAAATAATAATAATTTTTAATAAAGAAAAGCAGAAAAAAAAATACAAAGATTCCTTAAATCTTCTTGATCAGTTACAATAAAATTATCGTGCCGGATGTTGTTCAGGAGAAAATTTCATGTAAAAATCATGAGAATTGTGAATTTCGTTACCTTTTATGTTAATGATTTTATGAAAAGTCTTTTATGTTAAAGAATTTTTGGCGTAACCATGATTTTCTGAGGTAATAAACATTGGATTTTACATTAAAGTTTCATTTGGATGACTTTTTTAATGTTTCTTAAGGAAATTTATTAGTACAAAAATTAAAATTTTGTACTAAAAAATTATTTTAAAATGCAGTAAAAAACTTACATAAATAAATCCTAATTTAGAAAAAAAATTTAAAAAGTAAAAGAGCTGTGCACTTGTGCTTTCTTCTGATTTTAGTCTATATATTTGTGGCATTATTTTTCGTTCAAATCTATGGCGGAGATACAGGTAGAGAGAGAGAGAGAGAGAGACCTACGAAACTGCTTGAGGGTGAAGAACATCCGGATAGTTTGTGATTTGACAACGCGTGCCATGTGTGAAGGATGAAACACACCAATTTGAGGAAGATGAATGGTGCGTTTGGTACGGCTGTAGCTGTCAATAAAACAGGTTTTGAAATTATTGTATAGAAAGCTACTTTATGAAATTGTTGTATATAAATCATTATATTTTATTTGGATAGAATAACTATAGAACTATTGTGTTGCATCTGAGTGGAAACAAACTACCATGATACCCTTATATGTATATTGATGAAAGAAAAAATTTTAAAAGATAATTTTTTTAAAAAAAATGTATATAATAACCAAATAGCAATTCTAAATCAAAATTATGTCCACTTTTACAAAATATTTTTACGAATTTTAAATATCAAAGAACTCCAAATTTTTTTTATATTTTTTATCAGTGATTTACACGCACGATCTTGTAAACTTTTTACGAATTTACTATTTAGACTTATCGAAGAAGTAAAAGCGTGATTTAGTCGAAGAAGATAGAGCGCTAGAGAAAGATCGTTACCTTCACGACCAGATGCAAGGCGGTCGGTGAGCTGGATGGGTGGGTTCAGGCCGTCCACCAGGAGAGAAGCAAGAAGGTCCGGCGGGCTGGAGGGAGGCTTTCGGTGAAGTGAGGTGCTTTCGAAAAGAAAAACTGCCAAATAAGAGGAGAAGAATACTTTTTCATTTAAGGCAATAAATACTATAATTAATGCTACTTACCTAAACCCTAAATTAGTCTATAGGAAACGGCTCGAAGAAGACGAGAGGGGTGGATTCAATTTCATTACCGTAACCAACGGTTGATTACAAAGGAAATTAAAAAAAAAATTATTATTGTAAATGGCAATAGAGAGGGATGTCATATTCAGATTGCCACGTTAGCGCTATGTAAATTTTAAAATAATTTTAATTAAAACGTAACACTCATTTTGTTATTAATAAAATATTGAATATAACAGGTGAAATTAAAGCCTAAGATCTTATTTGAATGATAGAATGGAAGGTTAGGATTATATTTTGAAGGAAACTCAAACAATTTTTATAATAGTAGTATATATAAAATCACTAACGTTGGGATTATATAATTTGCACTAGCACACGTAAAAATCCCAATAAATATTATAAATTCATAATAAATGTTTAAAAATACAAGGACAAAGACCAACTTCATTCACAACAACAACAATAAGCCTTTATCCCACTATCTGGAGTCGACTATACTCTTTTTCTCCATTGTGTTATGTTAAGAGTCAAATCTCATATAAATCTAATAAAGAAATATCATTTTTAATATTTTATAACCAAATCTTTTTTGGTCTTTCTCAACCTTTTTAACATATGTCAAATATAATACATCTATTTTCCTAACCGGGTCATCGGAAGACCACTGTTTTATGTGACCAAATCATCTAAGACAACTCTCCCTAATCTTATCTTGCACTGCACCTACTCCAATCTTTTCACGTATATGTTCTCTTTGTATCATATCTCTAAGAGTAAAGCCACGCATCCATTTGAGCATCCTCATCTTTGTAACACTTAACTTAATATTATGATTCTCTTTTCATGGCCAACATTCTGCACCATAAAATATTGCAGGTCTCACTATCATCTTATAAAATTTTTCTTTAAGTTTGAGAGGAACTTTTCAATCACAGAACAAGCCAAATGCATTCCTCCACTTCAACCATCCAACTTGAATTCAACTAATACAACCCAAAATAAAAACCAAGATACAACTTTAAAATCAAAGAGTAGAGAAAGCCATGCTAGAGGGAACAAACCCGAACAAGCACAAAATCAAAACTAGAAAGAATATCTAGTAAAAACAAAAAACAGAACTAGCATCTAAAGAGCAATCCCAAAATTGGACTCAAAATGTCCCAAAGAAAAAATCCATTTGTCAATCAAAGAGATGCAAAATGGTCACAAACTTTGAAGTCATAAAACGTTCAAAAATAACCATAATAAATAAAAAATATTGGTTCAAAAATAACCTATTATCAAATCATTAAAAGATAATAAATTCAACTTCGCCACCTTCTATTATATATGATCCAACCACCTATCTCATCTACGACACCTATTATTTCCCAAACAAATTCCACTTTGTCTATCAATCATTCCACGCAACCCCCAGCTCCTCCGCAAGCAACTGTATCTCGACATCCCATGGTAACAAGAAGTCAAGCGGGATCCCTAAAGCCTTGCAAACGTCTCAACCTCATTCATCAGTAAAACACTATCAACGACCAATCACCCCCTACCACGTATATTGATGCGGCAAAACATTTTGAGTGGCATAAAGCCATGGCTCATGAATTATTTGCGCTTCAAAAGCAAGGCACATGAAGCTTCCACCACCTCCTAATGCATCCATCCTCAGATGCAAGTGGACCTATAGAACTAAACTTCTTTCTGACGTACCCATCACCTGTTTTAAAGCTCATCTTGTTGCTCTAGGCAACATACAATAATATGGCATAGACAACGAATAAACATTCAGTCCAGTTGCTAAGCTTCCCACCATTCAAACTATTCTCACTATAGCGCCATATCACGGTTGGCCACCCATCCAACAACTAGATGTTGAAAATGCCTTCCTGCACGGAACTCTCTCTGAAACCGTCTACATGTTTCAACCTAAAGGCTTCGAAGACTCCTCACATCCTAATCATGTATGTTTTTTTTATAAAGCCTTTACGGTCTAAAAAAGCACCGTGCCTGTGGTACTACACTTTCATTGTACATCTCATTTCTCTTGGATTCTCCCATAGTAAATCGGATCCATCCCTTCTAATTCTGAATCAGCCCAATTCTACAATCCTCCTTATATATGTTGATGATATTCTCATCACCGGCAACAACTCTTCGGCTATTTCCCATCTTCTACAAAAATTACGCTTAAATGTGCCATGAAACACCTTGGAACCGCCCACTCCTTTCCGGATAGTTTGTGAATTGACATCGCGTGCCATGCGTGAAGGATGAAACACACCAATTTGAGGAAAACGAAGGGTGCGTTTGGTACGACTGCAGCTGTCAATAAAACAGGTTTTGAAATTATTGTATAGAAAGCTACTTTATGAAATTGTGGTATATAAATCATTATATTTTATTTGGATAGAATAACTATGGAACTATTGTGTTACATCTGTGTGGATACAAACTACCTTGATACCCTTATATGTATATTGATGAAAGAAAATTTTTTAAAAGATAATTTTTTTAAAAAAAATGTATATAATAACCAACTAGCAATTCTAAATCTAAATTATGTCCACTTTTACAAAATATTTTTATGAATTTTAAATATCAAAGAACTCCTAATTTTTCTAAACAATGTAATATCATACTTTAAAACAATCTAAGAAAAATTATAATATCTTATATGACTTAAATTTATTTTTTATAAATAATAATATAACTCTGATAAATTTAAAGGTTTTAATTTAAAAAAAATAAGTATTTAATCTCATAACTTTGAACAAATTATAAACCTATTTCTCTAAATTACAACTATGAATTCATACCGAATTGAAATAGTTTGAAATCAATAATAAATTGTTACATAATTATCATTAATCTACTTTGAACAATTGCTTGCCTTTCAGCTATATAAATTTTAGTTATGGTGTTTAATTTTTTTTATTTTAAATAAAGTTTACAAGTTTCAGATGTATCTTATACAAACTTGAACTAATTTTCAAACAATATTTGCAAAGTTTCAACTGTATGTACAATTTGTCGCTTCAAACAAAGTTACTAAAAAACTGCTTCAAACAAATTAAATTGATATCCATTTGAACTTTTGTCTTCATTATATATTTATATTTGATGAAATTATGGACTTGCAGCATTTGAAATGCAGGAATATATGGCTCCATTATTCTGTAAGAAAATTTTCATATGAACTGGAATAGCTGTAATTTCTATATTTGTAAAGTTCTGAGTTTAGTTGCTTCTTTATCATTCCTTATGGCATAAAAATGATAGCAATACAGGATGACCGAAGGTGGGACCAGAAATCAAAAAATGTGGGTTATAATACTTGCTACATAAAACTCTAAAAAGTCATCTCCATACCTAATCAAATGATCTGAAGAGAAGGATGTTCCTACAAGAAGTACAAAATAAAAAAAGTAAAGCTTTACTTACATTTCACTATGATCTTTTAAAACATATGAACCATTCCGCTAGTTAAATATGTGTACAATCACGTCTAATTCATCTCATCCAACAAAATAAAAAATTCAGGATGGAGGTTTGTTAACTGTTATGTATCTCTAACAATTAGCAGTATAGCCTAATGTTATAAAATTTTGCATATTGATTTTTCTCCTTTGAAGTAGAGTCCAACGGCTGTACCAAGCTGTAGGTGTAAATTTGCTGTTTACAACAGATTGAAATCAAATGGCATACGTAATTGGTACACCAAAACTTGGATTGCAATGGAGTTACAAATTCAGCTGTCAGTGGATTGCTCAGTACAGCAGATGAACTTTGATTCAAAACAGTTTCAACAACGAGACCATTAACAAACACACTAGCAGCAATCTTAAGGCAGCAAGTAGTTTAAAAAAAGGATAAATGATTTCAGTAGCAATGATTGCTTTAAAAAAATTATGATATTGGCATTATGTAATCATACTAGCCGAATAAATCAAAGAATCTACAACTACAATTTTCACATGAATTGCAGAGACTAAAATTAATAAAATAAATTTGACATAAAACGAGAAAGACATCTCATGAAACAAAAATAAACCATCATCACGTGCATATATATGTTTGATCCATCAACAAACAACTTTTAGATAACATTAAACAAAATAGAAGACATATGGAAGAAGATAGAAGCGCAGTTTAGACGAAGAAGATAGAAGCGGTAGAGAAAGATCGTTACCCTAAATCCTAAACGAGACCATTACCAAACACATTAGCAGAAATCATAAGGCAGCAAGTAGTTTAAAAAAGGGATAAATGATTTCAGCAGCAATGATTGCTTCAAAAAAATTATGATATTGGCATTATGTAATCATACCAGCCGAATAAATCAAAGAATCTACAACTACAATTTTCACATGAACCGAGAAAGACATCTTAAAATAAAAATAAACCATCATCAGGTACATATATATGTTTGATCCATCAATTAACCAGCAACTCTTAGATAACCTTAAACAAAATAGATGAAGAAGAAGAAGCGTTGCCTTAAATGGCCTAAATGTCCCAAAAAAAAAAAGGAGATAGAAGCGCGGTTTAGACGAAGAAGATAGAGCGCTAGAGAAAGATCGTTACCTTCACGACCAGATGAGATGCAAGGCGGAGGGTGAGCTGGGTGAGAGTGGGTTCAGGCCGGCCACCAGGCGGGATGCAAGAAGGTCCGGCTGCTGGAGGGAGGACTTCGGCGAAGTGAGGTGCTTTGGAAGAGAAAACCTGACATATAAGAGGAGAAGAAAACTTTTTTCATTTAAGGAAATAAATATTATAATTAATGCTACTTACCGATCCTATTAGTCTATAGGAAACGGCGCGAAGAGGAGGACTGGATTCAATTTAATTGCCGTAACTAGAAATTGAGTATAGAAATCAGAAACGTTATTACTGTAGATGGCAATAGAGAGGGATGCCAGGCTGCCACGTTAGTGCTATTTAAATTTAAAAAATAATTTAAATTAAAACCCTGAGCTCCACCGGACCACCACTTGAGACCTTGAGCTTTGACAGACCATCACCTGACACTCAGAGTTCCGTTGGACCACCACCTGATGCCCGGTGTTCTGCCAAACCCCACCACCTTACACCCGAAATTCTGTCAGACTAATACCCAACCCCGGGGTTCTATCAAACCACTACCCAACACCTGAATTCTGTAACAACGCATGACGCCGAAGTTCTACCAAACCACCATCGGGCTACCAACTCACGCCCGAATTTCCAAGTAACTCCATACTTCCGACGGATCACCAAGTGACGCCAGATTTTCATCTCCGTTTGTCACAAGATTTCAATCATTCGATTGTCATTTGTAATCTAATCGCCCTTAGGAACGAGTCAGACCACTGTAGTTTCTCTAATTCCGATGGAATCATTTTTTAACTTGACCAAGCCCCGTGATTTTTTCCTTTTCCAGGGTTTTCCACATAAAAAATCATGTGTTCTCTGCATGTGACCTGAATATTCATACAACGCTACGACGTAGGATTATAATTCTATCGCCGCGTATATTCTAGCCTGCAACATATATAAATATAAAATTGAATATTAAAAATAATTTAGTTGAAATTATACTTGTATAAATGACAAAATTAAAATATGAAAAAAATATTAATATTAAATTTATCATTTCGGATAATAAGATAAATCTAAATAAAAAAGAAAAAAAAAAGAAATCTATTCAATCAAAATTTGGAGCTAGGCTTATAAATTATAATTATGGCAATGTTTCTTAATTTAGAATAAGATAGAATTAATGTAAATAAATTATAAAATAAATCAAAATTTATCACATAAAAATATATTAAAAAAGCATATAAGCCTATTGTCAAACTTTTTATTGGAGAAACTATTGTCAAACATTTTATTTTATATACTTTTTATTTTTTGTTTTTTGAAATTATATCCATATAGAGAAGTACCGCTCGCAGAAAGAGCTGAGATTTTAAGAAAATTGCAATAGGAATTCAATTCCAGTTCTGTTAAAAAATTTTCCTGTATATAAATCGATTGGTTGCCACCGTGCAAATCTATTACAACAATTGAAGCTTTTTGAAAGATAGAGAAACAAGGAAAATGTTTGTAGTCCAATAGGTGATGAACCTCCCATATAGATATTTTCCTTCTACTAAATCACATGTTAATCTAACTTAGTAGTTGGAGATAATGGGGGCATGCATTAACTTATTCTACTAGAAGTTTTTTCTGTGCGAGAAACTACATAATTCCGCTAATTTCTTCTCAAAAGCTCCTATTTCTGCTTCTTGAATGTCTCTTTTAAGCGAATTTTTATTCCTTCAGGTTACCTGATGTAGCTTTACGTCAGGTAGCCTATAATATGTCGCCACGTGTTTTTACTCTTTACCGCGCGGCCCGACGACCCAACTCGGACCGGAATCCGGGATTACTATGTTCGCGTATTGCTCGGTATAGGCTCGGTATTGCTAGGTATTACTTAGTATTGCTTGACAATAACGAGAAATGCAGCTATGTGAAGACCAATACCGAGCAATACCGAGTATACCTAAAAGAACTCGGTATTGCTCGGTATATGCTAGGTATTGGTCTTCACAGAATGATATTTTTTATTTTTGTTGAGCAAAATCGACCAATACCTAGCAATACCGAGCTACGCAAACTCTCGGGTCAGTTCCAGGTCGGGTCGTCGAGCCGCGCGGTAAAGAGTAAGAGTACGTGACGACATATTATAGGCTACCTAACGTAGAGCTACATCAGGTAACCTAACGGAATAAAAATTTCTTTTACGCATCAAATATGTTGGGTATTTACATTTCTTCACTTCATTAACATAGAATTTGATTGTCAGAGGAGGAAATTGCAAAGTTTATATTAGTTGTCTTCCAAATGGTGCATTTCTTTTCTTGTCATATTTTTATATGTTAAATACAATTATTCTCAAAGTTATTCACTTCTTAATATGGCCACATTTGTTGTTAAGAAGTTTGTTTCTACATTTTGTTTCTTATAGCTGATTAAGGAATGGCTGGAGAATGCTAAAGCTTTTGACAACTTCAAGTTGCAGTTTGACGATTTATCCACAAAACTCCAATGAGCAGACAATAAAATAAAATTTTATTACAAGTTTAATATTTCCCACGGGCTATGCATTTATTGTCATGTTTACAGAACTTTGATTGTGATGGGCTAGAATAAAAAAAGGATGAAGAACTCCTACTTAGATTTTTGTATAGGAGTCTTCATTCAATTAAAAAAGGAAAATTAGAGGAAGAGGGAAAAAGGAGCTTCTTAATTCGATGATATTAGGCCCAACGTAACTGCCTGTCTGTCTGCTTGAGGATTTAACTTCAACTTGTTTTAAACTACTAATAAGATTTTCTACAAAACAAACCCATATTCTCGATGATAAGACATTAGAAAGTTGTCTTACTGACATATCATTATATTTAGTTAAAAACTATAAAAAATCTACTTCAACCTCAGCAAAAAACATTTTGTCTAACGTAGAGTCTTTGTTGAGTCTTGTAGAAAATTTTAACTCCAACAAGTTCATTGCCAAACTTGATTTGTAATAAAAGAGTAGATAAAGCTATGCTTGAGGGGACAAACCCGAACTAACAATAAATCAAACTAGAAAGAAGGTCTTTTAAAAAAAGAAATATTATTGACAACTAAAGAGCAATCCCAAAATTTGACTCAGAATGCCCCAGAAAAGACAACCCCAACATTACAAAATGAGACATTAAAATAATAAATTTACAAAGCGAATCGCTACCTTTCTCCGTGACTATGCAAAAAAAACTTAAATAAAAATACTTTAATGAAACATAAAAGAAACATGTCTATATTAAACACAAATATAAAAATAAACTATATTTTAGTAGGAAGTTGCATCAATAGATGTGGTAGACATCCATCTCTTTATTGACTGATCATGATTCTTTTTCTCTTCTTTGTGGGGGTAGAACAGAACACATCAGTAAGAACGGTGGATGATTCCAACGAAGCTTCAAGAATAGCCAGTCCCTAAAATATTAAAAATTAATAACACTCTCTCAAATCATAACAAAAAAAAAATTCAAAACCTTTAATTAATAATTAGTAATACCTCTTTTATGCCAACGACGACCTTCTTCAGCTCTATACCATCCACTATGCCATAATTCTCAAAAATCTTCCTAATTGAAATATCACATGGTGGCGTCACTATCAAATCGTCGGTAATCGTAAAGTAATATCCCTCTCTCACAAATCCCTTAGTGCTCTCCCCTCCATCTTCAGTTCTAGTAGAACCAGAAGAATAACTTGCGGATGGTACCACAAAGTCAACTTTCTCAGTCATCTCCAACTTGCAGATTGGGCATAAGATATTCCTCACAATAGTTATCTTGCTTTTGCAAGAATTACAGAGATAGTAAGTCGGTTCTTTAATGGCAGTAGTACCAAGAAGCAAAGGAGTCGCTAGATCAGAAATGAAAACATTGGGACTAAGTAAAGAGGACTTGGCTCTGTTTGTGACGAAATTAACTTGGTCCAAATTCTTGACGCTTTGATAAAGTTTTCCTAAAGATCCAATCTTGGATTGAGGGGAGAAAAGCTTAATTACTGTCCCTAATGGGAGCTTAAGAAGACTGAATATGAAATCTATAAACTCTTTTTGAGCACTAGCGCAGATTACTTTGGAGTTCTGAGGGTCGATGATAAGTTCGAGAATGGCTTTGGAATCTCCATCTTCCATGGCTGATGGGTGAGATGGACTGTTCGACCAAACGAATAAATTAAAATCAATTCATACATAACTAAAATCAAATTTTATTAAATTCCAAATAAAGAAATTATAAACAACAAAATAGAAAACTTTAAATACTTTAGAAACTTTAAATATTAAGAAAATTTTCATTAAATTAACAGAGCGTTCTCACTACCTTAGACTAAACACTTTAAGTATTTTAGAAATTGAAATCCATTCCTTTTCGTTTTTGCCTTAAAATAAATGTAGGATTTAAAAAGTCTTTATCATTCTAAACACCAAAAAACATGACTACTTAAAATATTAATCCTAATACTTCTTTAAAATATGATCACTTAAGATATAACAGAAATCAATAGATGTTCTGTAAATATTTCTTTAATATTTACAGTAAAAAATGTAGAAACTATTGTCAAACTTTTTATTTTATAAACAAATTTTTTTCTTATAAATGATATCCACATAGAGAGGTAGGTACCACTCGCAGAAAGAGTTGAGAGTTTAGCCGAAGAAGATAGAAGCGTTAGAGAAAGATCGTTACCTTCACGACCAGATGAGATGCAAGCAGGACGGTGAGCTGGGTGGGTGGGTTTAGGCCGGCCACCAGGCTGGATACAAGAAGGTCCGGCGGGCTGGGCCTGGTGAGGTGCTTTGGAGAAGAGAACCTGTCATATAAGAGGAGAAGAATACTTTTTCAATTATAATTAGTGCTACCTACCAATCCGCGAAGGAGGAGGAGAGGTGTGGATTCAATTTCATTGCCGTAACCAAAATCGGAAAAACTATTACTGTAGATGGCCATAAATCGGAAATGCCAGTTGCCACTTTAGTGCTATCTAAATTTAAAAACAATTTTAATTAAAACACTCATTTTGATGTTAATAAAATAGTTGAAATTAAAGCCTAAGATTTTTCTTTGAAGGATACAATGGAAGATTAGGATTATATTTTAAATGCGCCGTATGATATATTAACAATTAAATACATTAACTTAAAATAAAATAAATCTTTTTGAAGTAGGAACGCCCAGTGGGGTCTTCTGACTCTTTTCTTCCATTAAAGCAGGAAAGACCGATGTTGTCTTCATGCTACTTCCTTCAATTAAAACAGGATAACTAGAGGAAGAGGGTAAAAAGAGTCCTCTTAAACCAGTTATATCAAGCCCGGGGTAACTGCCAGGGGATGCAGTTTTAATAAACCTTAAAGAACTTAAATCAGTTCTATCAGGAGTTCTATCAGGCCCGGGGTAACTGCCTGAGGATGCAGTTCTAATAAGCTTTAAAGAACTAATAAGGTTTTCTAAATTGCAACCCCCTCTACCCGATGATAAGACATAAGAAACTTGACTTACTGCCATATCAATATATTTGGCTAAAAACTGTATAAAATCTTCTTCAACCTCAGCAAAAAACACTTTGTCTGAGTTAGGATCTTTGTTGAGTCTTATAGAAATCGGAGACTTCAACAGGTTCATTGTGAAACTTGTACTGTAATATCTTACAAAATACGTTAATTTTTAATAAACAAAAGCAATAAAAAAATATACATAGCGAAATAACATAGCTTAAGAAAACGAAACTTTGGTTACTAGAGCGGAGAAGCAACCTACAAACTTGTCTTACAGTAGGAATATCATGAAGAAGATAAACTTACAGTTAAGTGTGAACCGAACAGCGGGAGAAGAAGAAAAAGAACGCTAACTTGAACTGAAATAAAGAGAAATGTATGTTTTATTGTGTACAGTGCCTCATCTATATATATAGGCGTATAACGTAAGTTTGCTTTACAAGTGTAAAAAGCGATGAAAAAGATTTATAAGCAGAATTAGTGGATGTCAACATTACAATTTAATACATTAGGTTCATAAATGCGCCGATTGATATAAATGTCTAAATCTTTTTGACCTGTTATTTATTTACATATATCTTTGACAAATTGACCTGCAGCGAGTAGACAGAAAAAGAGTCAGGTTGGAGAATACCAAAAAAGTAGAACAAGATGTTGCAGAGCCAAAGCCACCCAGGAAGAGACATTAAAGCATCAAAGGCCTATAGTTCAACCCATCAAAGCAGTACACCAACATCTACCCTAAACTTATAGATAGACTAAAAAATAAAACCGCGTGGCATTAATTGGAGAGCAAAACCACAGATCTACCAATAGAATGAAAACGTGAGCTTTTTCCTGTCCTGAGATATAAAAGCTCCTATTGGAAATAATAAGGACGAATTACAAATCTCAACCACCAAACCAGCCAGAGGGACGAAAAAGAAGGAAGGCAGGCGGGTTCTCGCGCGAGCACTGAGCAGCTGCACTCCAGTCCCACGTCTTGGACTCTGGATTGTGAAGCAGCAGCCTGTCTGTGCGACATAAAGAGATATTGGGAACACGAAGGGTTGCGAAATATTATAGCGTGCGATTTAGTTCATTTGTGCGGTTGGATTTTGAGGAGGGCAGAACCATGCGATTTACGCCATTTGTGCGGCAGAATCAAGCGATCGCGACTTTCGACAGGACAAAATAAAATTTTATATAATATTTATTATTATTATTATATTTATTGTAGTATGTACATTTAATATAAATAAATAAATTTTTGGTACTGATGGACAGTTTGAATGAATTTAATTATCAAAACTTCCGAGACTCATTTACATTGAGATTCGTTCCCGATCACCATGAATTTTTTGCTGACTTATCAAAGCAATCTGTATATGATTCAAATTTTAAGAATTCCTCTGCATTCACAATGTAAGTCTCTCTCTCTATATATATATATATATATATGTATATCTATAACAAGTGGTGTAGAAAAACTTTTGGAAAAAAAAAACTTAAATAAAATAAAAATACTTTAATAAAACATAAACGAAGCATGTCTATATTAAACACATACACATAAAAATAAACTATATTTTAGTAGGATCACACACAAGTTGCATCAATAGAAGCGGTAGACATCCATCTCTTTATTCACTGATCATGATTCTTTTTCTCTTCTTAGTGGGGTCGGAACAAAACACATCAGTAAGAACGGTAGATGATTCCAACGTAGCTTCAAGAATAGCAAGTCCCTAAAATATTAAAACTTAATAACACTCACTCAAATCATAACAGAAAAATTCAAAACCTTTAATTAATAATTAGTAATACCTCTTTTATGCCAACGACAACCTTCTTCAACTCTATACCATCCGCTATGTCATAATTCTCAAAAATCTTCCTAATTGACATAAAACATGGTGACATCACTATCAAATCGTCGTTAATCGTAAAGTAATATCCCTCTCTCACAAATCCCTCATTGCTCTTCCTTCCATCTAAGTTCTAGAATCAGAAGAATGACTTGCGGATGGTACCACAAAGTCAACTTTGTCGGTCATCTCCAACTTGCAGTTTGGGCATATGATATTCCTCACAGTAGTTACCTTGCCTTTGCAAGAATTACAAAGATAGTATGTCGGTTCTTTAATGGCAGCAGTACCAAGAAGCAAAGGAGTCACTAGATCAGTAATGAAAACATTGGGACTAAGCAAAGAGGACTTGGCTATGTTTGTGATGAAATAAACTTGGTCTAAATTCTTGACGCTCTCATAAAGTTTTCCTAAAGATCCAATCTTGGACTAAGGGGAGAAAAGCTTAATTGCAGTCCCTAATGGGAGCTTAAGAAGGCTGAATATGAAATCTATAAACCCTTTTTGAGCATTGGCGTAGATTATTTTGGAGTTCTGAGGGTCGATGATAAGTTCGAGAATGGCTTTGGAATCCCCATCTTCCATGGCTGATCGGTGAGATGGAATGTTCGGCCAAACAAATAAATTAAAAACAAATCATACAGAACTAAAATCAAAATATATTAAATTCCAAATAAAGAAATTATGAACAACAAAGATAGAAAACTTTAAATATTAAGGTGAGCCCAGACATTCTCACTGCCGAGATGTTAGAAATAATTTTTCATTAAATTAACAACGTTTCTTAATATAGAATAAAAATTAAAGTAAATTAATAATAAAATAAATCAAACTTTCATAACAGAAAAAAGATATAAAAAAGCAAATAATGATCTTAGTTGGGGATGACAAGCAAATTTCAAGAATAAAAATATAGGAGAAACTATTGTCAAACTTTTTATTTTATATACAAATTTTTTGTTTGAAATTATATCCACATAGAGAGGTATCACTCGCAGAAAGAGCTGAGATTTTAAGAAAATTGCAACGACTAAAACCATATGTTATTATTTCAAAAAAAAAGGCCATAATAGAGACATCATCTGCAATATGAATATAATAATTAGTATGCACCATGTTATGAAGTAAAAACTATAAAGAGATAGTCTCATATCTTTTTATATGATTTAATTTAACAAATTGAATAGAGAAAGAACTAAATATAAATGTTCAAATTAATGGCTATACCTATTTTTAATTACAGAATACTTATATTGACAACCTTATTGACATACTTACAAAATTGTATATCATACACTACAAGAAATTCAGCTATTACCGGCAGTTTATTCTGGCGGATAGACTGGTATTACCGGCGGTTTTTAAAAAAACAGGCGGCTTTTCGGCGGTTGCTAAGCTGCCGGCAAAAACGTCGTCGGAAACCATTGCCGGCGGTGTTTTTCCGACGGTTTTTTTCCCCGACGGCATAACGGCGGCTTATACCGCCGGTTATTACCGGATTTATTACTGGCAGCGTTCCGACCGTAGAATCGCCGGAAATGTTACCGACGGTCTTCACCGACAGCATCGTGGCTGTTATATCAGCCGGCGTGCAGTCGAATAACCACCGGACAGCGTCGGCAAACTGCCGGTAAAACACCGGCGGCTACCCGGCAGTCATAGCCGACGGTATTGTCGGCGGTAAACACTGTCGGTATGTCACCGGATAACCGCCGGTAAAATACCGGCGATTAAAAGAAATTTTCGTCGGCGTCAATCAACCAGTTCCGACGGCATATGCAGCTAAACCGCCGGTTAGGCCGTCGGCTAAACCGCCAGCTAGGCCGCCATTATTACCGACGGCTAGACAACCGCCGGTCTATGCCGCCAGTAACAACTAAATTTTCTGTAGTGATATTTAGACTTATCGAAGAAGATAGAAGCGTGGTTTAGCCGAAGAAGATAGAAGCGCTAGAGACAGATAGTTACCTTCACAACCAGATGAGATGCAAGGCGGACGGTGAGCTGGGTGGGAGGATTCGGCGAATTGAGGTGCTTTGGAAGAGAAAACCTGTTATATAAGAGGAGAAGAATATTTTTTTCATTTAAGGCAATAAATATTATACGTAGGCAATAAATATTATACTTAATGCTACTTACCGATCCAGTTAGTACGAAACGGCGCGAAGAGGGGTGGATTCAATTTCATTGCCGTAATTAAACAACAATTGACTACAAATGAAAATCGGAAAAATTATTACTTTAGATGGCAATAAAGGTAGAAGGCAATATAGAGGGATGCCAGGCTGCCACGTTAGTGCTATGTAAATTTAAAAATAATTTTAATTGAAACACTCATTTTGATATTAATAAAATATTGAATATAATAGTTGAAATTAAAGCCTAAGAATTTATTTGAAGGATAAAATGAAAGGTTAGGATTATATTTAAAAGGAAACTCAAACAATTTTTATAAAAGTAGTATATATAATTTTTTCAATATAAAATCATTAATGTTGGGATTATATAAATTGCACTAACACACCTAAAAATCCTAATAAATATTATAAATTCAAAAGAAATGTTTAAAATTACAAAACATCGAGCCGCTCGATTCAACTATAAGCATGTCACATTTGAAAACTGTTTGGCAATCCAAATTGTGGTTTGAACCTTCCCACAACACTTTAGGTTTTAAATTTGGACTCATTTGGGTCCGGATTGAGTCGAATTTGATGTCGTTGGGTTCATATTTTCAAGACGTTCAATTTAAATGTGGCTTTGCTTAAATAAGAGTTCGGATGGTCCCACTTTTAAGTTAGGAAGTTTCCAACTTGATTTTATCTTATGATTAGTGCCCAATCAAGATAATTTTTTGATGATATATCAATTAAAATACATAATTTTTTTAAAAATCTTATATGTTGATATGTTGATTTGAAATCTAAATTCAATGAAAAGACAAATTATTAAATAATAAATTAACATATTAAAATTATGTTTTCTCTTTCGAGCATGAAATTTTAATTTTAGCATGAAATCTTAAGTTTGCTTCTGATCCATGGTTTGTTCCATAATTTTGATGTCTCCTCTCTCGGGAGAATTTGATCTTTCCGCGATGTTTGCATTCGAAGAAGGTCAGAGCCAAGGCGTTGAAATTGGCACTTTGGTGTTGATTAATATGGTGTTGCGTGTGATTCTTGCCTGCGCTACCAACCATTGCATGAAAGTTATGGATGAAAATTTTCGATGATCTTTTTGCAACAAATTTTTTGTGGAATTTCTGCCTTAAATTTGCGGCGTAATTGGCCGTCGTAAATCTGCTGCAAATATGAGTTATAATAAAAATAAAAAAAGCTTTATGTTGTATTTTGTTTCCACGACCAAGCGGAGAAGGGGTTTGGTTTGCAAGAGGTGCATGTTCAAATCCCGGGCAGGTCATGTTGGGCGGGCAAGCCGATCAAGTAGCCGATTAGGCGGGAGCAGGCAGCTGGTTAGGCGCAGGCAACAGTCACGTAGGAGCTAGCGTGCAGTCAGGCTCGGGCAACTAGCGTGGTCAGACAGGAGCGGGCAACCAATTAGGAGGGTGGTCAGGCTCAAGCAGCATGCATTTGGTTAGGATTGGGACGCGGGCAGCTGATTAGATACAAATTTATAGTTTTTTTAAATTTTTTTAAATTCTGCCGCATATATTTGCGGTGGATTTTTCCCGTTGCAAATAATTTTGTAACGAGGTTTTTTGCAATGGAAAGAAATCCGCTACAAATCAGATTTTGCGATGAATTTTTCTTATTTTGCGACGGATTTTTTGCTGCAAAAATATGATTTTCATGTAGTGAGCATTTATAATTTTTGCTTTTTCCTTCAAAATTTTTTAACAAACACAAATAAAACAAAATATTTTCATTGTATTTAATACAACAAAAATAATACACAATTCCTACTTATCAGGTACACAGGTGCCAATAGGAATGGGGGGTGGAGGAGGACTAGAGGAGCTATGAGAGTTGAACAATGCTTATAAGTGGTGGATAATATCATAAGAGAAATCTTGGGGAGAGGAGAGAGTACCAGAAAGAGTAACTAGCTCATTAATTGCATTCCTATTGTGTCTTTATTTTTCTTATAGAGAAAGGTAAAATCATCCTCATCCTAAACATTAGACAACCATAGCTCCTTAGCTTTTTGAATGATCCAAGAGGACCAAGAAGTGACACAAAGACAACTT